AATCCTGATCCGAACAGTGGTGAAAGTATAGAAGTAGAGACCCAAAAAGTTGACATAAATAAAATTCTTGATAATGATTCTTAAAAAAACAGTAGTCGCAGAAAAAAATTTGAATGAATCCGAACATTTACTTCCATTTTTTTTTTTGTTTTTTTGAAACCGATCCCGATAAATGGTTAATTAATGAATCTTTTCGTAACTATGTAGCAAGCATGGCTTAAATCAAAATCTAACCGATGATTTTTCTTATTCCGGTCGAAAATATAATGACAAAACACGGTATTTAACAAAACAGTTATTTTAGAGAAAAATGTTAAATGTTGAACCTGTATTACGTTCATTAATTCGATTCATTTTTAGCAGATCGTATTCCACGTTTTAGTAATAAAGGAAGTGGTACTACTTCTTATTTATCACACGATATTTGTGATGAGTTTATACAATTAATTACGAAAAATATGAAAAATACTGTAATACAAGAGTTATTGAAATCTAAATACTTTTAAATAAGCGTAGATTCATTCTACCCCAGATATCTCTTATGTCGATCAACTTTCTTTTATGGTGAGATATGAACAGCATAACGTAAACCTATTGAACGTTTTTTATGTTTTACTCAATATACAGGACACAAAGCTGAAGAATTAGTAGATGCCATTTTAAATATTTTAAAGGTTCATAATATTGATATTGCTAATTGTTGAGGACAGGCATACGATAACGCCAACAATATGTCCGGCATTTATACAGGTTTGCAGGCTCGAATAAAAGCATTAAACCCCTTAGTTTATTTTGTATCATGCGCTGCGCACTCTTTAAATCTAATAGGAACATCTGGCCGCAAAATGTTGTAGTGATGTATTTTCATTTTTTGGACTTATTCAACAACTTTACAATTTTTTCACAGCATCTACTTATAGATGGAATATTTTACACGATAATATGAAGGAAAAATCATACACACTTAAATCTTTATCAATAACTAGATAGTCGGCCTGCGCGGATCCATGTAGAGCTTTAAATGCATCGTGATCAGAAATAATAAACTCATTATCACTTATTAAGAATGATGAAAACGAAAAACGCATTACCAGAAAATAAGCCAAAAGACTTTAAGTCGAATCTAGTGCTTGGTTTTCAAGCGATCACCATTGAAAATCCAGTTACACACGTTTAAACCTCTCAGGTAGGCGATGTGGCCGTAAAGGGGAGATTTTAAATGTATTATGGAAAATATATGTCAAACGTTAGCAAGTCGTGGTAAATAGTGAGTTGAAGATCAAAAAACTATATATATTATATTTAATATTTTTTTTGATATTTTATAGATAGTTAGATATCGATAAAAAATATGCACTTTCCGTGATAACAAAAATTACAATTAATTAATAAAATAGTTAAAACTCAAAAAAAAAAAAAAAACCGATAGCAGTGTAAAACGATGTGAGATTCGTACCTGCCTACCTATTGTTGGGGAAACCTATCCTAACACCTATCGACTACTGTTTGAGCTAATAACTGTAACCGAATCTCGAGCACTTAAACCGTTATAGAGATGCAACGAATACTACATTACACGTAGTTTAACCAATGCAATTTTTACGATTCGTGTGTCATAAAACCGTAAATCGCATATTTATTGTCGTTTAAAGTGTTTCTGATGTATTAATATACATTAATTAATTGTATATGTCTTAATGATATATTCAGTTTATTATCACATACACATATCATGATATCACCCCAAATGTATGTAATTAAAAGCATTACAACGACTCAAGAGCAAAAATTTTGCAATCTGTTTCTGTAATACATATAATAAGAATCTATTAAACCCGACGTGTGTCAAAAATCGTACACACGTTTCTTTTTTATACTCATAATCGTATTTTATACGCTATTTAAACAGTACTGATGAGGTCGTGGAGGCGTCCGAGGATTGAGACACAGAAAATAAAACAACACGTATTCAATGTGGATAAATAATTTATTGAATTGTAAAAAAATAAACAGGAGTGTACGTGACGATACGATAACTGTACCTAACAGAGGAAATTTTAGGTAAAGAAGCAGCAAAAAAAAAAAATGCAAGATATTCCTTTATCAACTAACACCATATAATCGCGAATAGGAAATATGTCCCAATACATAGAAGAACAGCTTATATGTCTCATAAAAAAATCTCCCACTTTGCTCTTTAGTGTGACGAAAATACGAATGTTGCACATTGTTGTCAATTGCAGGGCCGGTTTAAGCACGGAGCCCGGGCTCCAGGCCCTAAAATATTGAAGGCCCCGAGGGAGCCTTCTATCTGAAACCAAATTCAAAATATTTTAAGTTCAAATTTTATTTTGGTTGCACACTTTTTTAATTTTCGTAAATGAATTGTATTATTTGTATTACGTCATGTACTGAATGCCATCCGCAAACGGGCGGAGCGATAATATTGGATTGAAATAATTGTTTGCATTCGGTGCATCAACTAGAACATTACAATACTTATCTTATTTCCGACAATATATTTTTATTAGTAGATTTGGTTTTGATTTATTTATAATTAATCTAGATTGTTTTTGTTAGAAACATACGAGCATCTATCGTCGACCATCATTTGGTCTTCATGATTTAATCCCAACAGTTGACTTATTTAGTGATTACTGATTACAATATAATATTACTTACAATGTCTCAAAAATGTGCTAGTGGAGCCGCTAAGCGAAAGCTTAAAAAATAGAAAGAAGAAAGTATGAAAATATTGCTAAATAAGGTAAGGCTATTGGCTATTTAAAAAAATATTATTATCCCATGTATCCTATATGTAAGAAATATTATAAAATTTAATCAGACCTAATAATATTAAGCTTTTTTAAATTCATATTCATCCCAATAACTTCAGTTGATTGTGAACGATCATTTTTGATATGCAAGCATTTATTAACAGACAAACAGATTTATTAATACAGACGAAATTATTGTGAAGTTTCAAAAAAATAAAATAAAATAAGATAGTAAAGTTAGTTTTAAAATATAATATAATATAATATACTTTAATTTTTATGTTTTTATATTTTATATTTATATTTTGACATTTTATGAATAATATTGTATAATAGCATATACTTAATGAAAATTGACAAATATTAAAAAATTTTAAAGATATTTCTGTGCAATTTACCTTGTATCATTTTTTTTAAATAAATAAAATTCAGTTATTGGTAATAAATATTGTAAGGACTAAGGGCCCTTTGAAATACTAGGCTCCAGGCCGGGTAAACTCTTAATCCGGTCCTGGTCAATTGCTAATATTTGTTCGATTTTAAAATGAAGAAAACACAATCAAAGAAGAATTATTAATATCCCAAGCATTAGAAACTACGTCAATAGTGGTTGACGTGATAAAAATAATTCATGATTATTTTGAGAAATATCAACTTATGTAGGAAAACCTTGCTGGATTTTGCACCGATGGCGCTTCTGCTATGCTTGGGTTACATTCAGGCTTAGCTACATTGGTAAAGCAAAAAAATCCCAACACATTAATAACGCACTGTATTATACATCGACAAGCGTTGGTGTTCAAAACATTACCAAAAGATCTAGCTTTTTCAATGAAAATATCCATACAATTAGTCGGAAATTGTTTTATTTGTTGTGTTTAACTATATTAACGGTTATTAACGATGAGTTGACGAATTTGAACAAAAATATAGTTAAACATAACAAATAAAATAAGGCTGTCACTATAATAGGTAATACGTATATATTGTGGTCCATACTTACCGAAGTAATGAATTCTAATCCACCTATTGGTAATTTTCCATTACGCTATCGATATTTTTTTATTTTTTAATATAGGTAAAAATTTTATATCCTGTAGAATTACACATCATGTGTGATTCGCATTATTCAGTAGCACAACCAGGATTGATACCAGTTAATATTAGATATAATTATAATATTAACTTTTAGCTATATAACTAATATATTATATTAGCTATATAGCTAAAAGTTAAATGCCAATCAAACGTCAATTATTAAAAATTATTATAAGTTCTATCAAAATCAATTAATATATTACATTTATACAATTCTCTTATTTTCCATTTAAAACTAAAAACTTTAGCCGAAGCTATTGACATTGTTTCATGATCTTTAAATTATTAGTATATAAAAAAATATATTATATTTTACGCGTTTATACTTGAAATTGTATACTTATATATTCACCAATATTAACATGTATATAGCAATAGTGCATAATTTGCATATTTATATGTATAATATTAAATAATTAATATTGTTTACACACAGCGACTCAAGTTTATCTCTAGCTCTTTATCATTGTTATCTATCTATATTATTCTAACTCCGCGTTTATCGGCGATTGCAATTTCACGGTTCCGTGTCTTTTGTCACAGAACACGGCACCGAACCTCGCCGGTCTGTCACAGACCACGGGACCGACTGGGTTGCAATCGTCGATACCAGAGTATAAAAGGCCGCACGACCAACGACCAAGCACCATTCTTCGTCTTTCCGACTTTGTAGTAAGACTCATCCGGGCAGACTTGCGCAAAGTAGGAAAGGCGGCCTCCCAGACCACACTTAGCGAGCGGTTTGTGACTCGGTCATGGTGCAATAGTTGGAGTTATTCTGGCATTGCATCGATCAGTCACTTACCCTGTGGTGCAATAGTCAGAGTAATTCCGGCATTGCATCGGTCGACACACCGTTCGATAAGCCCCCTCCCCTGTCGTGCACCGTCTTGTCATGGCGTAGTGTAGCGCCTTACGCACCTTTGGTTTTTTTTTTTTATAATATATTCAAACCTTTAAAAAACCCAGAGTGTTCTTTTTTTCTTCTCTATTTTCTTTTATCGTTCAAACAAATATTTTAAATATTTTAAAAATCAATTACCGTGTCGCCAGAATACCATATATGATATTTAAACATTTTTCAAATTGTTTTTACGAAGGTTAATATTATGATATTGTACTTACTTCGACGGTTAAGACAGGCCTGTCGATTGCATAAAATAGATATTCCATTGAAACATTAAAATCACCATCATGATAGTAATACATTATAAACATGTACATGAAATTGTATCTTCTATAATATACATCATCGTAATCCGTGGATTTCCATAATGCATAATTGTATAACCATTGATTATATTGTGTTTCCCTTTGATCGTCATGCCTCTATGGATGATATAATAAGATAAACTATTTAATTTAAAATAGAAAATATACGAATTAATTATAGTAAAGTTTGTTAAATATTGTAGAGGTACACCTCTAATTAACATTTAAACCAGGCATGGACTGGCTGGGATGATAGGATGCTACAGCATCCCTTGCCCTAAAATATATTTTCCCCATTGATATAAATGTGCCGTCATTACTCTACTTATAATTAATTTGAATTTTAAAGGCATAAAGTTACAATACTCTAATTGTAAATAGATCTATTATTTATAAAATATTAATAACAACCATAAAGAATACATTTAAGTAACTAGTAAGGAAATACGTTTATCAGTGTGAGTAGTTTATTTTATACATTACTTTATTAACTTATTTTTAACACAATGTAACATTGAGTTTTTTTTTTTTTTTGATGAACGGGGGGTAATAATCAAACATAATTTACTAACTTATTTAAAATGATAAGTTTGCCTTTTCAATCTGTGAGAGCCAAGCAGCCAACTGCTCCCTAATGACCTCCTTCAAAATGCTCCTTAAAATAATGTTTATGCTATAACTAATTCTGAGACCCACACAAATAGTTTCATTAATTGCTTAGTAATGTACCAAAATAAGAACCCGACCAAAATCGTGTATCCCATATACGTCCTATATAATGTTAAATCCAAAACTAATTTTTTTATATCAACATAACATAAAAAAATTAATGAAATGATCAGTAAAAAGACGTCTCAAATATTATAATCTACAAATCGTTGTATAAAAAAAATTGATTTAATTACATCATACAACTGCAATTTGTATAATAATAATAAATGATAGGGAAGTACCCGATTTATGTTTTAAAATAATAATACTTATAGAAATTATTTTAAATTATTTAAGTTTGCAGTAATTTGTTCTATTTATGTTCACGTTGAGTCGTCTCCTACGACAATAACGATTATTATATTTTTTTTAGTCTGTATTTCATTAACCTGCAGATTAAATATTGTTTATTTATTCTATAACATTGTCGCGTTCTGCGTGTCTCGTATTAATCGTATTGTAGTAAAATTATAAAAACATTAAAAACATTGATAAAGACAACCCGACGACGTCTGATGGGTGACTTTACTGACTTTATTCTATGTCTATCCGACTATACAGACGCAGTATTGCGACTGCAATACCTATGCTGTTTTTGACTTTTGTTTTTTTGAGATTAAAATTTTTAGAGCACCATCTCCTATTCAACCAATTGTGGAAAACAATTCCAAAGTTAGGTTTGATTCCATAAACACATATTTTCGAAAAATGGTAAATGATGATATTGTTGAAAGAAGATGGTTTCATATTGTACATTTACAAACAAAATATATCGTAGTACTTGCATGGCATTTTCAGTTGATTTATCAAATGCATTTGTTAGTGGTGTAGTAGTTAATATTAAAAACATTTATATAAAAGTCCAAAAACATCAAAACAGTGCAGTACACAAATTTGCGTGTGAAAGTTATTTAAGAGCTTGTACTAACAAAAGTATAGATGTCATTCTTGAACATTTTTCATAGTTAAGAAGTAGAAAAAAATCATATGGTTCTAGATAAAATAATAAGCATAGTAATTGTTCTTGTTAAACATAACTTGGTCTTTCGTGGACATAGGCATGAATATATTAGTGATCTTAATGATGAAACAAAATTTAATCATGGTAACTTTTTAGCGATAGTTCAACTTGTGGCAAAATATGATACAATTTTAAATTACCACACTGAATATATGATTAAAAAAAGACAAAAAAAATGTAAAAGTCGTTAACGAGGTAATTTAGTTAGTTTTATGTCATGGTCAACTGTTAAAATTTTAAATAAAATTTTCAAATAATTGGTCAGGAAATTCAACATTAATTTCTAAGGAAATAAAATATACTGGTCAATTTTCTCTGAAAGTGGATTCTACTCAAGATATTTCAGTAATTGATCAATTGAGTATTTGTGTTCGTTATGTATACCAAAGATATGTTAAAGAACAATTATTAACTATGATTTCAATTAAATCATCTACTGGGAAAGATCAATATGAAATAGTGAAAAATGTTTTAAAAACATTGAACATTGAAGTAAAAAATCTGATCGGCCAGTCTTATGATGGGTCAGCGAATATGAGCGGAGAGTATAATAGGTTACAAAAATATTTTAAGATTGATGCACCTGATTCAATATTCATACACTGTCATGCACAAGTGTTAAACATAGTTTATAGGTGATGTCACCAAGTGTAATATTGCTTCTCAAAATTTATTTGGCCTTCTACCAAACACAGCGATATTTTTTTCTGAGTCTTATGAAAGAGCTAATATATGGAAAGACATTTTATTTGAAAACCAGATTGGCCATGACAAAATGAGAAAACTGGAGAAACTCAGTAATACACGTTGGAATAGCATAGACAAAGCTTTAAAAACAATTTTCCATTCGTGGACAGAAGATAGTTCAAAGTGTGATCGTTATATTTGTCTACTTTATTCATTACATATTATAGGTTATGATGAAAAGTTTATTAAAGATTTAAAAATGGCATCAGAGGCGAGAACATTATTAGAAAAATGGACTTCATTTGACATTATAATGTTACGAGTAGCTTTTATATATCAACAGATATTATTTTTCACGACACCTGTTTCTAAGTATTTACAAACAGAAGGATTTATTATGTAGTAGCTAGGAATAAAATTGTAACTTCAACAACTAACATAGAGAAAATAACAGAAACATTTGAACAAATAAAAAGAATAACTGTAACTTTTATGGACACAGTGGAAATTAAAATAGACCACTTGGACAATATTTATATTCAAAATATATTTCCCACAAGAAGAATAAAAACAAATTAAAATACAATCAGGAGAGTCGAGAAATGATTTAGTAACTGATTAAAGTTGAGAAAAGAAATTTAAAGTTGATATTTTTCAAAGAATTAGTGATGTTGTATCAATGTCCATTAGGGAAAGATTTATGAAAAACAAAATACTTTTTAATGCTATTGTTTATTTAGATCCAAAACGATTCAATGATATCAAAAATAAAATATTAGATTTTTCGTGTAAATAAATACATGATAAATATTATTATAATTTGTTGTTAATATAAATGCATGGAACCCTATCGAATCCCATATCATAAATGTATGTGAAATCATATTTAATGAATTACTTATTAAAGATTTTATTTATTTTTACTAATATTAATTTTTTTTAAATTTAAAAATTGTAATAGGACTAAACATTAGTTTTCTATATCCAATTATTTACTTCATAAAAGTAACTGAATTTGTATGTTATAGTGTTATAATAAATTTAATATTTTAGTAATTCATTATATATATTATTTTAAAATTTTATACTAATTTAGAATTATTTGGTAAAATATTATCATTAATAATATTAAATCATATTAACAAAAAATTAATTTATCAGTTATAAAGTGAAATAAAATTAAGGCTCGGTATTAACGAATTAATAAGTTAAAAATTAAGTTAATTTTAAGTTATTGATTTAACTTACTAGTTTTTTGTTTTAACTAATTTAACTGAGTTAAATATTTTCCTAAACTTGAAAAGCTTTTGATAAAATTAATAAAATTATGAATTGAATACCTTTATACCTATCTATAAAATAGATCTAAATACTGTGATATATATATATTTTTTTTGCTTAATATAGACCATTCAGGTCCTTCGCCGCAACCACCACTTCCCTCCATCTATCTTTATTCGTGGCTATTTCTTCACTGTTCAGGATTCCTAGCATCTCCAAGTCCTTATTAACCCTGTTTAACCATCTTTGTCTTGGACGGCCGAGTGGTTTTTGCTCTTCGGCTTCCAGCGGGTAACCTGACCGATTGTCTGTTCTCGACCTCGCCATACATGCCCTGCCCAACTTATCCTTTTGCTTTTCATAGTAGCTACTATATCTGAATCTTCTAACATGCTTATTACCTCTTTATTCTCTCTTCGCTCATATTCCCTCGTGTTTTGATTTCTTATGAGGCCAAAAATCTGTCGTAACACCTTTCTCTCAAATCTTGCTAGTTTTTGTTTGTGGCCCAAGTTTCACACGAATATATCGCTATCGGGCGTATCAATACTTTGTATAACGTTAGCTTTGATCTGATTGAAACTAATTTTGAATTTAATATTGTCTTTAATCCGAAAGATCACTTCTTAGGTGAGTTTATTCTGTTTTGAATTTCCTTGTGGTTACTGCTCGACACGCTCAATTCCACCCCTAGATATTTGAAGTTTTCGGACCAACTCTAACTCCATATCTTTTACTATCAAATTATTGTGTCTATTATTTTTCTGTGACAGTACCATGTACTTTGTTTTTCCTTCATTTATAGTTAGGTCCATTTGTTTACTTTCATGCAGGAGAGCTTCTGACATGCCTAGAAAATCACTCTCAGATTTGGACAATAATATTATGTCATCAGCGTATGCTAATAGTTTGATAGACTTATATTCTTGCAGTTTGACTCCTATACCAGACTTTAATACCTTTCTAACCACTTCCTCCAGCGCAATGTTTAAGAGCATTGGTGAGAGTGCATCTCCCTGTTTCAGTCCTGTGTTGGTCATGAATGCCTTCGATAGTTGGCCGTTAAATTTGACCATACATTTGGAGTATTGAATACATGCGTTTATCATTCTTGTGATTTTTGCTGGTACCCCAAGCTTTTCCATGACTTTCCATAGACTTTCCCGATTAATAGAGTCATATGCCTGTTTATAATCTACAAATAGCATGAATAGTCCCTGGTTATATTCGTAGCATTTTTCCATTACTCGTTTGACAGTATGTATTTGATCCACTGTTGATTTTTCCCATCCAAAGCCTCCCTGGTAATCCCCGACTATTTCGTTTCTATATGGCTTGAGTTAATTAAGGAGGACATTTGATAGCACTTTTTATGATGTATTTAGTAAAGAGATGCCTATGTAATTGTTGCAATTTATAATATCCCCTTTTTTGTAGATGGGGCATACGATCGATAGATTCCAGACTTCTGGTATATTTTCTTCCCTCTATGATTTTATCCATAACAAATTAAAAATGTTTATAAAGATATTTATGTGATATGCCTATCTTTTTTGTATGTTATTCCTATTTATTACTTTTCATTTAATTACTCTATATAATTATTTACAACAATTTTATCAAACTATAAAATTAATAGAGATCGTTTTTATTATTTGTCGAGTTGGAAAAAGCTAATATAACTTATTTTCCATACTATTAAATAAAATAAAATATTGCATGTGAAGTATTTCTTATTTTATTTTAATATTATACTGTTGAATTTTTTCAAAATAGAATGTTCAAATAAAAATAACTTCAAATATAAATTGAAATATTGTTAAAATTAAACTGCAATTAATCGTACCTAGTGTATTTCTCTTCATAAGCACTCAACTTTTAATTTTTATAAAAATTAAAATCATAGTTGGTATAATATATGAATATGGTTTGGAAAATGTATATTTAAATGTTAAGAACATAACCATACATTTACGTACATAACAGTTAATAGTTAGTTTTTTTTTTATTTCTTAAGAATGTGTTGTTACGTGTGTGAATTTGGCCCCACCATGTTATGATAAATACACCAACATTGTGCAACATTTAGCAACTAATATACAACTTTAGGCAACCGGTAAAAAAAAATTTGCATCCTTATATTTTTGTCCTAATCGCTAAATCAATATTGGTGGGGCCAAATTTACGTGACCCCACCACATCGTCGTTTCGACCTCGAACTTTTTTTATAATTTAGCAACTAATTTGCAACTTTCGGCAACCTGCGTGAAAAAAATTGTAACCTCGTGGTTACGCCGGAAACGAATTCCTATGTTGGTGGTTCCAAATTTTTTTTTACCGGTTGCCTAAAGTTGCATATTAGTTGCAAAATGTTGCACAATTTTGGTGTATTTATCATAACATGGTGGGGCCAAATTAACGCACGTTGTGTTGTTTATGATTGTTCGAGATATATTATGATATTTTTTCCCTTGCGATAAGTTCGGCGACTTTATCGTCGCCCTCCTCCCCTCTTGCCTAATGTGGCATCGGCGTTCCCTGACCACTGCTGTCCGTCAATACGACCGTACACACACTCTCTCGTGCGACCGTCTCCGGGACGTCGCTCGCTTTTGTTCTTACGCGTGTGCGTGGCTAATATAAGGCCATTTTGTGTGCCCGTAGCACTTGTGCCTTTTGGTTTTTGTGCTGGCCTTGTGTGCCGTGTTGTGCCGTCGTCACATTTGCCGCGTGTTGAAGCGACTCCGCATCTTGTACGTGTCGAAATTAATATTATATACACATATATATCATTTATATATATTATATACACGTGGACCCTGAGGTTACGAGCCGACGTCATAATTGTTATTAACAATATCAGTGTTCCAGCACACTTATTCCAACGATCATACTGCCTTGGACCAGGTCAGCGACATATTATTATTATATTTTATTATTATTATTATTTGTATTGGAAGAATTGGTTGTTATTATTACTATTATTATTATTTCCTTTTTTTTTATATTATTTGGGCGCTCTTAATTTATTATTAGTATTATTATATTATGTAATACGTTACACCTCTGTGAAGTATAAAATATATATATTGTAGCACGACGGTGCGTCAACCTAAATTGTGTGTAATTCTTAAAAGTTGTCTAATTGCCCTCTCTTAATACGTAAGGTAAAACAAAATACTCTGGGTGTTATTATATTTGCCATCCTAAGCCAACCGCCCAAGCAGGAGCCTGGTGGAACAATGATAAATAAATTAATTCCAATAAAAAAATAAAAATAAATTACAGTCAGCTAATTGTTTATCATAAGAATTATACAAGAATTCAATTTAAACGTTACGTTAAAAATATCATTTATATAAATATATGTTTTTTCATTGTTGAAGAAGGAGTTAAGTAGTGTATTACAAAATTAAATACAATTAAATGCTTCTAATAAACTTTATTGTAAAATTGGTAAAGTCTTTTGACATTCTCAGACTCCAGTCAATAGAATAAAAAAGTATGATATTTTTGCTATATAACTAACCGATTAACTTAGTTTTCTTTCTTCTCTTTTTTTAAACCATTAGTTATCGGTTATTGAAATAATACCAACTAAGTATATAATACTATTATTCAGATATTAAAAAAAGAGAAGAAATATGATAATTAGTGCCATTTAATAATATTTATTGATATTATATAAATTAAATAAACTGACTCTGATTAAAAAATATCCTCGAAACAATAATACTGCTGAACTGGGAAACGATCCATATTCTGGAACATTAAATTTATTTTCTTCTTTTGATAATTCATGATCTGCTTGCTCTATATCTTGGTCAGAAATACTCGTTATATGCTTCATTATATCTAATTTCAATGTCTTTAATAGTGTACGCCACACTTGTACATGTTTGTTTTGATTGTCATATTGCTTTTCAGAAACTACTAAATGATCTTTTATTGAATCGAAATATTTCAAACCTGAAAATACAAGTCTTGTGTTTAATAATATTAAATTTATGTTAAAAAAAAAATATATATGCTTATGATAATAAATCAAATTCTAACACAAATACATAAAATATTTGAAGTGAACAATTTACCAATCGATAGGAGATTCAACGAATTAAAATATAATAATATACTAATAAAAAGTTGTAGTTTAATAAGGTAACTCAAATCACGAATTCAAAACATAATATTTACCATCGTTGATAACCTCAAATGCGAATTCATATTTCTGATAAAAATAATATATACTCGCTGCATTATAGTACGATTGAATAAATACCATATAATCTTCATAAGATGATGGTTGTTTTGTCTAAAAGAATTTTTTTTTTTTATATAGTATAAGTACCTCGATATATTTTATTTGAACATAACGTAAAGCACATTTTTAAATACATTTTATCAATATCTATCAATAATATAATTTATTAATGATAAATATGCAATATTTCATTAGATTTGTTAATGTCAATTAGTGTTATTTTTATTTATTATATAAATGTTTGGTGTTACTAAATCCAAATTATGATATAAAATATAAAATATCGCTGCATACTTCCACAATCAAGGTAAATAAGGTGTTGGAGAAAATAACAGTATTAATTAGAACACTTTTTATCAGTACTCAAAATAGCTAAATACATTTTGATTGTACATTTTTAGATTTTGCGACAATCAATACATTGTTACGTTTTATTAATTAAATCACATGACATGTTATGGACGTACAACACTAATTCTTGCACAGACAGCGAGGCACGGAAGGGGTTCTTTCAGCCCCAAAACTGTCTACACTGCGAATTTTTTCTAACCATGGACCGTATCACTCTGCTCGTTCACAATAATAAGCAGTGTTGAGTAATATCTAGATAAATTATCTAGATGCAAATTAAGTATCTTCATCTTATCTAGATGAAAAAATAAATTAGTATCTAATTGGTATCTAAGATTTAAGTTATGAAAATCTACATAAATATCTAGATAAATCTTGTGTAATGCGCGTGTATTTTTTTCAATAATCGTTTACTCATTTAGCTATTTTATAACAAATATGATATTACAACGTAGAAGAGTACAAAATAATAATAACATTTGGGTGTTGTTTACTTATAATAATTTTATTCCATCCTGTTACCAAAATAATTTTTAGATTACAATATTTAATGTTCAATAAGACGATTGTTAATTATTAATAGTTGTAATATACCCGCCCGCCATTCGACCGACCGACCGTTATGGTCGTATATCAACACAAGATATAAATATAACACCGTGTTCCCGACATCCGCCCAGTCGATTGGTAAATAATGTGAAATATACTAAAAATAGTTCTCGCACAACACAGACATAATATAATAATTATATATATCATATTATTTATGTGTTATTACTTTTTATTTATAATATTTTGTATAATTATATAATCTTGATCAGATAGTGAGTAGGGGCTACTGCGCTACTGCGCTACTGCGACTGTCTGCAGACTAATTTTATTGTAAATTACAACCTCGTCTAGTCGTTTCGTATATTTTCTTGTTCTTAGTGTTTCTTGTTAACTGCCAATATCAATATGGATAGGTTTTTAAGTATAACTTCCAACAAAAGAATTTATCTGGAAAATGTTGATGACCCGCCTGCTGTTGACGTATCTGCACCATTGTCTGAACTTAAATTTCAGTATTTATTAGATACATTTTATAAGCTGGTGTCAATAAATGGTGATAAAATTAAAGCTTCTTGTCAAAACTGTCACAAAATCATAACTGCATACACAACTTCAAGTGGCAACTTATTAAGTCATATTAAGGTAAGTTTTCATAATATATCCTCTAATAAAATAATTTTTCAAAATTTTTTGATAAATGAATAGGCACGTCATAAAAAAAACATAAAGAATATAGGTACATCCATATTTCAAAAATCTATTAATTAAATTAGATTTATACAATTATAGTTTTAAAATATATTTTTTTATTTATTATATACCTAAGTGATAGAAGTTTATCTATTTAATTTATTACTAATTTTCAATATTTTCATATTTGTATAGAGTCAACATACCTTTTTAATAGCAAAAGTCGAAGATGCAAGGAAGAGGAAGAATGAATCAACCTCATCTTCCTTTATTCAAACTAAAATATATGATGTTTCTACCAAAAAAATTTCAAAAGAAAAGGTAATTTAATGTTTTAACCTAGTTATTAATTATTTAAATATTATTTTTATGTCAAACTTATAGTAACAAATATGATTACTTAAGTTATGAAGACAATGATAATTTTTTAAAAAATTTTTAATATAGTTTTGTAAAGTTGTACAATCAACATTTAATTACAACAATAATGTATTTTTACAATTAATTAATAAGAAAACCTTTAATATAATAATGAACAGTGGTAATATAATGTAATTTTAAGTAAATTAGTTATTTAAATTATGTTGTGATTTTGTAACATCTTATTTTTCTACATACCTTTTATAAATTATAAATTCAAATGTAAAATGTCTTTACAGTATAATCTAGTTTATATTTTATAAAAATATTTAGATTAATGTGAATAACTAATTTTCAATGAGTCTGACTAACTCACTTGAAATTTAATATAATAAATATTTTTTCAAAATTTAAGTAGCCTAACTCACTACAAAACTTAACCAGAGTTAAGTAGGTTGATGCTTTATAAATTATTTAAAAGGTAAGGATTTATGTATAATAAAATGAGTTTATTATTTTCCTTAGAGTAGGTTTTATAATAATAAAAAATATTCAAAAATAGTCAAAAATTAAATTGCTCTTTTTTGGTTTAATCCGTTTTGGCGCTATGAGTCTCAATTACAAATTGTTCAATATAAAGTTTAAATTGTTTTATAAATAAGTAAAAAAAAAAATATATTTTGTTTCAGATAAATGAGTTGGTATTTAATTACATAATTAATGAAATGAGACCACTGATTACGTGTGAAAAACATAGCTTTCGAGAATTAATTATGGGACTTACTGGAATTAAAGATACTTCTATTTTGCCAAACAGAATTCAAATTAAAGCTCAATTAATATCCAGATATTCATCATATGTGCAAATGATTACAGATTTAATACAACAGCATAATTATATTTGTACAACTGCAGACATTTGGAGCTCAAATAATAAAAGCTTTATGGGTAAATATCTAATGATTTTTTTTTTTTTAATTTTATTAAAATTTTATTACTTCTGTGAAATGACCATATTGATTTAGACATTAGTTACTGCAAAAAAACATGAATCATTACCTATCATAAAAATTAATTTTTAGAGAATTATGAGTAATAAGTAATACAATAATACCTACTTAATAACATTTTTAATTATTTGTGGTTTAGGATTATTATATTATATTATATAAATTTAATAAATAACTTAAAAATTGATTATTATAAATTAATTTTTTTATTTAGGTATGACGTGCCATATGATTAATGAGTCTACATATGAACGATCTTCATATATTTTAGGATGTAGAAGAATGATTGGGACTCATAACTACATTAATATTGCTGAGACGATAACTAATATAACTGAAACATACAAATTGGACAATTCAAAAATCATTCATACTGTCACAGACAACGCCAGTAATTTTGGTAAATCATTTAAAGTATATTCTAAACCTTTACCTGATGTACATCAGATAAATTCTTGTACCTCCGGCAATTTCAATGAAGATAGTGATACTGTCAACTGTAATACTGATGATGAAGATACAAACTTAAATTTGGTATATGTCTATGAAGTACTTTCAACTCCAGTGATATCTGATATAGCAAATGATAATTTTTCTCTACCATCGCATATTACTTGCTGTGCTCATACGTTAAATTTGATAGCAACACGTGATATTTCTTCAATTGATGATAGTAAATATAATAAAATGTCTGAATCGTCATTTCAAAAATTGCAAAGCTTTTGGAATATATTAAGTAGAAGTACAGTTGCATCTGACAAGGTGGTTGAAATATGTGGTTGCAAATTTCCAGTTCCTATTATGACAAGATGGAACTCATTATTTGATGCAGCTAAAAAAGTACTACTTCATAAAACTGAAATTATTAAAGCATTTGAAGAATTACGTTTAACAAAATTAAAGGCAAATGAATGGGATTTCTTGAAAGAATTTTGTAACGTAATGGAACCTCTAACAATTTCTTTGGACAAAATGCAATGCGAAAAAAAAGGTTTCTTAGGCTATGTTGCACCTACTATTTTAGTTTTACGCCGCACTTTAATATCATTAACAAATTTAAAATACTATAGACAATTATGTATTAAAATAGTACAAAGTTTAGAAAAAAGATTTACTAATTTATTCGATTTGTCATTGCCTAAAAGTAAAAGTTTTGTCATCGCTTCAATAAGTCATCCCAAGTTTAAATTAAGTTGGATTCCTATTCGATACATTGTCTCGTGTAAACAACTTTTTTTGACTGAGTGCAATGAAATGTATACTAATATCAGCGCTATCCAAAAAAAAACTACTGTAGCTAGTAGTGATGAAGATGATGATAATAGTGATCAGGAATATTACTCATGTTTGTATGAACACACCAATAATGAATCCTCTTCTAGTGATTCAAGAATTACAAACTATTCTTGTGTACAGGCTTTGACGTTCTTAAATTCTCCCAAAAAAGAAATTAGTGTATTAGAAGATTATCCCATAGTTAAACAAGTGTTCTTAAAATACAACACAACTATTTCGTCTTCAGCTCCAGTCGAACGACTTTTTAGTGAAGCAATTCAAGTATTAACACATAGAAGAAACCGTTTAGGAGATAAAACATTTGAGATGTTACTATGTTGTAGGTCAAAAAATTAAAGAAGCCTGTATCATTATAATTTATTTGTTCAATAATTAAAATATTGTTATTATTATTTATTTATGTTTGTACAAGTTTATATTATTTTTATTATTTATGATGTATTATAAAAGTAATATTTTGAAAAAGAAAAAAATAATTACTTAATTTTTTTTGTACTTATTTTAACTTCTTATAATATTGATATTTTAGTATTTGATTTGAATATTATATAAAAAGTATAAATCAGTTTTCTTAAACTAAAAATATATGTTGAGTATTAATTTGTACTTACACCTACTTGGGTGTTCAACCATGATTTTGGGTAGATGTATTTTTCATACATTTAATTTGTTACTATATGCTCATTATAACATGTATTATATTATAATGTATGTATTTCTTAAACATATATTTGACATAAAATAAGCCTTCCTTAATTAATTGCTTAACAATAAATCCAATATCATGTCAAG